AGTAGTGAGGTAATTGAGGGTTAAAGTTAGTAGACAGCTCAAGCAAGGAAAAACAAGACAAGTAAAGAAGAAATACTTACCTACGGACCCAAACCACCAACCAAATCTAAATGCCTCTTTTTGACTAAGCCAACTGTAGGTTACACGAAGTTTTGGATTGTGGAGCAACTGACTCACCATAACGCCCGATTTCATTTGGTGGTGACTGTGAGATTCGAATAATACGAAGTGTCACTACCTCCCCCTCCCTCTGATGTGAAAAATGTAATAATAGAATTTAGCTTGTAAAGAATAAATAGAATAGAAAACAAAAGGAATAGAAGAGATTTTATAATAGAAAAACAGTTAGATAGAAACAAAACTTGAATAAGAAGACGCTTGAAGGGCTAAACAAAATGGACAACATACTAACCTGAATGAATAAGACTCCAAATTCCAAGATGAACAAGGAACAGTTGAAAGAACTTCTTGAAGGCCTGACCGATTCCTTTGCCCAAGTTGCAAATACAATCACTAACGCAAAAAAGGACCCAGGAGAATGAAAGGAATTAATCCATATAAAAATCAATCCATTTCACGATCACGATAATGAAGACCTGATAATGATTGGAAGCATTCGAAAGTGTCACTGTAGCCAATAATTGGTCTGAAGAAAGAATGCTGAAGATAGTGTCCAAGTATCTTAAAGACTTAGCTACTGACTGTCATAAAAGAAATAAAAAAGAGTTAGAAGAATAGAAAAATAAAGAAGACAAACCAAAAAGCTTTTACTATGCCTTTATCGAATTCTTCACTATTCCAGAAAAGCATCACATATGGCAAAAAGAACTGAATAACCTCTAGCAGAAGCAGAATGAAAAAGTGGATGCGTATGTCACCAAGTTCAAATGATTATTGGGAAGAATAGATCTGAGAGGTGACCTGTCAGACAAATTCATAATTAGGATGTTCCTAAGTGGGCTGAAAGGAAAAACTGCAACCTTCATCGCCTAATCTGAACCTGCAAATTTGGATGAAGCAATTGTTAGTGCTAAAAGAGTAGAAGTAGGAGAATATTATAGCAGGCAAACTTCTAAGAAAACTCAACAAAAGAAGTTAGAAGAAGAGTTGGATAATCTCTCACAGAAAATCGAACAAATAGCCTTAAACTTCGCAGCAATAAACTTCAACTGAATAAATAAACCCTATAATCAAGAAAGATTTCATCATAATTTTAGAGACAATAATAACTGAAAGAGTATCCAAAAAGAACCTTACTGAAGAGGACCCTCAAGAGAACCAAGAAAGGATATCACGTGTTATAATTGTAGAGAAAGAGGCCATATAGCTAGGCACTGTCTATCCGAAAAAATCTCTAGACGAAGTAATGACGAAAACCAAAGAGTTAGTCATTATGTAAGAAAGGAAACTACTTGTAACAGTGATGATGATCTATGGGCAGACCCAGAAGAAGTTTATATTATGAATAAACAGCAATACCAACCCTACAAGGCAAGTAGTAATGGAAGAAGGCTACCTGGCCAACCGGAATCAAAATGGGAAAATTGACTAAGAAGCAAACCAAACCTCACTGATTCCCAACTAATAACATTAGAAGAAGCCTAGGACATAATAGAAAAAAATGCATTTACATCAGAAAAAAGGCCAAGAAGGAAATAGGAATTGTTAATTATAGATAAACTCCTACCATACGACATCACTGACAATATTCCGAATGCTACAGCCCACATAATTTTAGATCAAATGCTCTAGTATCCGAATCAGAGACGAAACTTGGCTAAAATCTTGAGGCAGCCATTACTCTAAGTTCAAGCAGCAGGTTATGTAAAGTTTGAGGAACCTAAACATACCACGGCTGCGCGATGTTATGTCAAAATACAAGGGAACCCTATTGTCACTATACTAGATTCTGGTGCTGTCATGAGCATAATAATGAAGAAATTAGTTGACAAGCTAAAATTAAAAATTCAAGAAAAATTCTCGACTGTCATAGTTACAGCTACAGAGGCTAGAACAAAGGCATTAGGAAAAATAATAGACTTAAAAATTATGATCCAAAATACCATAATTCTAAGCACAATACAGGTTATTGAATCCTCTGAAGAGACCTTGTTATTAGAGACTAATTGGTTTCAGAAGGCTAAGGCATAACTCTATTTTGACGAACAGCAGTTGATTCTTAAGTATCAGGATAAAACAATAGAAGTCCCGACCTCGTATACTGGTAATGAACCCCTAAAGCAAGAGAAGAAAGGGGATGAATGGAATGTAGAAAGTGGTGACACCTTTGATGAGTTCACTTATGAGAAAGAAGAGCTTAATGAAGCAGAAGGATATTGCACTGTAGAATCGTCAGACGATGAGGTGGAAATCTATAAAAACCTCTAGAAGGAAGAGGTTAGCCCAATTATCTACTTAATGGCAATAGAAGAGCTACCTACTCAAGAAAGGGAGGAGCTTGCACTTACCAAGGAAGAGAGACTAGATAAACTAGTCCAGAATGAACTTCTAACTGAGAAAAGAAAGAAAAGAAGTCCAGGAATTCTTTCATCTTAGAGTCAAACTCTTTAAAGAACAAAATAAGTTGGGCCAGACCAGTATAATGACCCACCATATAGACACTGCTGATGCCAAACCTATAAAGCAACATTTTTATAGAACCTCTCCAGATGAACAAGAATTTATAGATAAAGAGTTAGCGACTATAGAAGAATAAGGGTTAATTTAGAAATCTAAGAGCTCATGGGCCTTACCTGTCATTATAGTCCAGAAAAAAGGTAACAAACTTTGTATGTGCATCAACTATCATAAACTGAACATGGTCACAAAGAAAGATGCATATCCATTATTACAGATAGATGACCTACTTGAAAAGTTTAGGCAGGCAAAGTGGTTCTCCAGTATAGATCTAAGAAGCAGCTATTGGCAAGTAAGAATGCATAGAGCAGACTAGGAGAAGACTGCATTCATCACTAGAAATGGGTTATACAAATTCTGAGTAATGCCATTTGGGCTCTGTAATGCCCTAGCAACTTTTCAACGCTTAATGGACATAGTAATGACAGAGTACATTGGTAAGTTCATGGAAGTATATATCGATGTTATTAATGTATATTTCCAGACCTTCGCAGAACACCTAGACCATTTAGAAAAAGTACTTAGTAAATTAGAAGAGGTGAATCTGAAGACTAATATAGAAAAATGCATATTTTTTAAGCCCGAAATCCAATTCCTTGGTCACGTAGTCAGTTGTAACAGTATTCGTCCTAATAGTGCTAAAATAGAAAAAGTAAGAGACTATTCAGCTCTAAGAACGATTAGACAGTTGAGAGCCTTTATAGGACTAGTCTTATATTACCACTGCTTTATTAAAGACTTCACTTCTATAGCACGATCTTTGCATAACCTACTAATGAAAAATATTAGCTACAAGTAGAAACAGAAACAACAAGTAGCATTCGAGAAGCTAAAAGAACACCTGACCTCAGCGCTGGTCCTCTAGTATCCTGATTTCTCTAAAATTTTTTTTTTACACACGGATGTATCAGGAACAGGACTAGGGGCCATATTGGCATAGAAAATGAACAGAAATAAAGATTATATAGTCTCCTACACCAGCTGCAGCTTAACTAAAGCAGAAAGGAACTACTCAGCTACCGAATTAGAGTGTCTAGCAGTAGGGGCCTGCAAATTGCCTATTTTTGAGGCCCGGCCCGGCTCGCAATTAGGGTTAAAAATTTTTTTTAGGCCTGGCCTGGCCCGCATTTAGGGTTACCATTTTTTTGACGGCCCGGCCCGGCCCGCATATGTCAAATTTTTTCTTCAGCCTGGCCCGGCCCGGCCCGCAAAAATTTCTTATATAATTTTACAAATTTTTAGGCCCGCACTGGCCTGCAATTATAAAATTTTGCAAATTTTTCAGCCCGGCCCGCAATTATAAAATTTTGCTTCAGGCCCGGCCCGGCCCGCAAAAATTTGCGGGCTGGGCCGGGCTGCGGGACCCAATGCAGGCCTCTATCTAGCAGTATTGTGGGCCATCGAATATTATCATCATTATTTTGGGTTTAAACCCTTTATTATTATAATGGATCATGTCACATTAAAGTGGCTACATATGGCTAAGTTGAATAGTAGATGAGCCTGATGGATCATTAGACTCCAGCCTTATAATTATATGATAGAACATTAGGCTGGTAGAGTTCATAATAATGCCGATGCTCTGTCCTAGAGACAAGAACCTATGAAAGAAAGACAAAGATCAGAAAGGTTTAAGAAGGAAAAAGAAAAAGTAGGGTTACAAAAAGGTGAAGAGCCAACAGACCTAGAATGGCTCCTAAACTTTGTGGAATATGATGAGTACAAGGAGCGTTGGGAAGAAAATATAAATGACAAAAGTGTAGAGGAAGAATGGGACTAGTGGAATATAAATGAGAATGATGAACATAGTGGCAGTATGAATGAAGAATTAGATTACAAAGAGTTACAGCTAGAAATAACTAGTGAATCAGATCAAGAGTATACCTGAGTAAGAAGTAAAAGCCAGGAATGTGCAACAGAAAAACTCTACAAAATTTACAACTGTCACTGCCTTGAAGATGTTGTTGACAGGATGATGTCTACAAAAATGAGCTACTAAATCCAGTGACTGAAATAGAAATTAAGTACAAGTCTCTACAAAAGTAAATACTACAAAAAAGGATACATAAATCTGACATTAAATATCATCCAGTCCAGGTTGTCGGTGTCCTGGCATTTAAAGATAGAGTCAACATTATATAGGCACATTATAAAATATCTAGACGAACAACATTATCTACTAAATATAGACTAAAAACAACTTAGACAAATAGTTAACAGCAAAAATACAATAAAAGTAAGAGACAGTGCATTGTATAAAAGAGATAACCAAGACTCAGATAAATGGTTAAAAGTGGTTTAAAAAGATGAGGTAGAAGCAATCCTTGAAATGACTCATGACCATCTACTAGAAGGGCATTTCGGAGTAGATACCATGTTCAACAAAATTCAGCAAATCTTTTACTGGCCTGGTATGTATGATGATATAAAGCAACATATTAAAGGATGTGACAAGTGTCAAAGAAGGGACAAAAATAAAGTAAGAGGGCCATTGTACCCTATACCTGTACAATCTCTGTTCTACTAGATGGGAATCAATATCATTGGTCTATTACCAGTAACACCCAGAGGAAATTGATATATTGTAGTAGCCTCAGATTACATGACTAAGTGGCCAGAGGCTAGGGTTATAAAGTCAGCGAATGCCTAAGAAGTTGCTGACTTCGTATTCAAAGAGATAATCTGTTGTCACAGGTGCTCAGAAAAATTTTTGTCAGATCGGGGTACTCACTTCTGCAACCAGTTGGTAGACAAGTTGCTGGATAAATTTTGTATAAAGCACCTGCTATCCACACCGTACCATCCCCAAACAAATGGATTAGTAGAATACTTCAATAAAACATTATGTGAAGTGATTGCAAAGTCAGCAGAACAGATTATTGACTGGGATTTAGTCATACCAGTGATCCTGTTTGCCTATAGGACTACTAAACATTCGATCATCAAGATAACGCTGTTCTTTTTGGTTAATAGACAAGAGGCCAGATTGCCTATTGAATCTGATAACACCTAGAAAATAGTAAGTGATATGATATTGAAAAGAATAGCAAGATTAATACAGGACTTACCTGAGGTTCGTAACACTGCCATGGTAAGGGTTCAGAAAGCCCAAGCTAAAATGAAGGATCGACATGACAAGAATGTAAAAAACTGGCCTAAATTGGAAATAGGTGATAAGATATTAATGTATTGTGCAGTGTTAACATATAATAGGAGTGTAAAATTTGAACCAAAATGGAAGGACCATTTTACATACACGAGATGCTCCCTAAAAATGTGATAAAATTAAGAACTGTAGAAGGAAAAGTGTTTATTACGCCTGTTAATATCTAGTTACTAAAGAAATACTATGATTAAAAAAAAAAAAATTTTCTATATATATATAATGATAGAAGAACCAACAGAATAGAAAAGAAAGAAAAATAGAGTTTTGAAAAATGGCGATCAGCTTTATGGAACTCTATAGTGATCTCACTATCTTGACCCAGCTATAGATCCTGTAACTCTGCCCTATACAAGTAATGATAACATGGCTACATGCGTAACTTTCTTGTTTACCCAGATGAAAAAGGCCATTTGATTTAAGAACTGGATTCATGTCCTCGCATATGGTTACTATTTAGAAATGGTCTATGTGAACGTGACCTCAAAACAAGTAACCCAACTGAGAAAGCTCACGACCCAGTACTATTATCTAACATCAATGTGGATCTATAATATCTTTGGTAAATATGGAATAGACCAAATCTACTATATCCAGAAAGTAAAGTTCCATGATATAAGCCAGTTAAAGACCAATGATATGCAACGGTTAGTCAACACAAGTTTGTGAAACTCACCTATAAGTGGAGGTGAAATGTTATCTGGCTAAGTCACATGCCACGTGACATGGCTAACCAAATAAGTGTAACCTGGCTAGAAAAATCAAAATCATTAGAAAGGATCGAAATGTAAGAAAAGTCCTTTCTGACGAAAAGAGTGAAGTAGATAACTTAGTCGATAATAGAGGGATCACTAATATAGTCATAATCATTATAGTCTTAGATAATAGTAATATAGACCAAAAAAATGTATATAAAATATTTTTATAAATAAAGGCCGTAAAGGCTCTAAGAAGGGAGAGAGACCCCTTAAATACTTTGCTTTATTAAAAATAATAACCAATCCCTTACATATTAATAAATACATAAATGTCTCCTTTAATACATTAACTAATTGCTAAGTCCCCAGATCATAAAAACCCACTTCTTGCAATTATCTGTTTTAACCCATAATATTGTTACACTCTCATTCAGCTATTGTATTCTAAAGTACTAGGATCAGTCATGGTCACTCGAGTCCAACTACATATAGTTCAATTACCTAAAGTAGTGAGGTAATTGAGGGTTAAAGTTAGTAGACAGCTCAAGCAAGGAAAAGCAAGACAAGTGAAGAAGAAATACTTACCTACAGACCCAAACCACTGACCAAATCTAAACACCTCTTTTCGACTAAGCCAATTGTAGGTTACATGAAGTTTTAGATTGTGGATAGGGTTCAGGGCATGGGAAAAAAATTGGGCATGCCTATATGGGCATGCCTATATGGACATGCCTATATGGGCATGCCTCTGAGCTAAGGCATGCCCCTCATGCCCATGGGCATGCCCTTTTTAAATCATATGATTAACATATAGTTTAAAAATCTTATATGTTGATTGAGTATCTACAGTTCTAGTTTACCTGAACTTATTAGCCAATTAAAATAACTTTAAACATCACATGACAAGGGCATGCCCTTTGGACTTGAGGCATGCCCATATGCTCTGAACTCTAATTGTGAAGCAACTAACTCACCATAATGCCTGATTTCAATAGTTTAAAATCATCTTTATACATCCTTCTAAATTAACGACAAATAGAGAAAGTTTTGAAATATATTATTTAAAAATAAATTTGTAAGATTTTAAAAATTCAAACTTAATAAAAAGATTGCAAATAATTTATTAAACTATTATATTATATTGGTTATAATATTTGGTAAAAACTATCAAAATTTTAAAATAGTATTTAACTTGCATATAACTTATGCATATTCTATCTACTTCATTTTTTTTTTAAATTCTTAATATTCTTTGGGATGATTTTTTTAACACTTACTTCTTATCAGTCCTAATCTAATCAGGCTAACTCTAGCCCTAAATTGGGTCAAGATTTGATAACCTACAGCAAAGACAGTGCCTGATCCAAATTGAATCACTCTCACCTGTGATCAATCACAAATTAAATTATTTATGTTAGATTCAATTGTGATGGGTACAGTATAACCTCGATATAACGAACCTCAATAAACTGAAAGTGCTATTATAATGAATATTTTTTTCAGCTAGAATTTTATAGTTTAAAATTACCTCAATATAATGAATTTTAATTATAAAACCTTGATATATCATATTATAAAACAATTTACAATTTATTTATAAAAAAATTACCTTGATATAACAAATATCTTAATAAAGCTAAATATTAAGCAAATATTTACTATATAATGAAATTTTATGTAACTTAATCAAAGTGTAATCAAAGTATAATCAAAGTATAAGTATTTTTTTTTACTTGAAATTTTTACATTGTCTTTTTTTTCAGTATAAATACAGTTACAAATAAGCAACAAATTGAAAATGAACCTAATAATACTCAAAAGAAAAAAAAAGTTATCTTGACCAATAGCCAACAGTATGATTTATGTTTTCAGAAAAAAAATGAGTCTAGTATTAAAAATTAGGAACTTGCAATCAAATTTGAAATTAGCAAATCTTCTTATACTGAGATTTTAGCAAAGTCAAACCATTGGTTATCTATTAATCTAACTTCTAATAGTGTAAATAATAAACAGAACAAAAGATCTGTTTTTATAAATGTTAAGTTAACCATTACACTTTGGATTGAATATATGATAGGAAATAAGCAATTCTTAATTGGTTATCTTATTCAAAATAAGAAAAAAAATTTGTTCAATTACTAAATGAAGATAAGCTTAATGCATCAAATAGATAGTTACATAATTTTAAGCAAAGACACAATATTCATAAATACAAATATTAAGGTGAAGTTGATAGTACATTTTTAGACAAATTATCTAAATTTAGAAGTAAATTACAAGGTATTTTTCAACTATATCAGTTTGATAATGTTTTTAATTGTGATGAAACCAGTTTATATTATAGATTAAAACCATCTTGTATATTAGCAATAGGACCAGTTTTAGGAACTAAAAAGGCAAAAAATTGTGTTACAATATTATTAACTACAAATGCAATTGGTTCAGAAAAGTTAAGACTATTGTTAATTCATAAATATAAAAATCCACATTCAAATCGAAACATGAATAAAAGCAAGTTGTCTGTTGATTATTTTTGGAACAAATCTACTTGGATGCAAAACTCTATTTGGAATCTTTATCTTGAAGATTTAAATTCAAAAATGTAATATCAAAAACATCACATATTACTTTTAATTGATAGGACATCAACTCATATTCTTAATGAAGATTTACATTAACTATATAAAAATAGAAAAGCTATTTTCAAATACTACAGCCCATATCCAACTGATGAATGCTGAAATTATTAACTCTTTTAAAATATATATATTATAGTAATATTTTATAAATAAATTTATATGTAATATATTATTATATTAAAGTTTTAATTTTTTTTTATAAGGCCAAGTACAGATGTTGTCTTATTCAAAACTGGTCAGATGTATATGAATTTGTACAAATAAGTCAAACTCCTTCAAGCCCAGTTAATATAAAAGAAGCAATTAATTATTGTGCATTGGCATGGAATGAAGTTTCAGATAAAACAATTAGAAATTGTTGGTATAAAATTGGAATTCTTTTTGTTGA